AGATTCAAAGTAATGCCTCTCAGAATTCTACCATGTTTGCTTCTAAAATTCACATGGACAAAGTTCCCCCCTCCAAAGAATACTAATAATACTGAAAAGAACAGAGATGAAGAACTCGTGTTGATTTCTATGCTTACTTACGTAGTCAAGATGACATGGTACTGGTGTAAAGACAGACATACGGAGATGGAATAGAACTGAGAATTCAGAATTCTTCTTTTGCAAGGTTGGGGGGCTGGTACTAGGAATTGGGGATTGTACATATTAGGTAAGTGCTCTGCCACTGAGCTACATCCCCAGCCCTATTTTGCTTTTTGTTTTTGTTTTTGTTTTTTTGCAGTACCAGGGATTGAACTCGGGGACACTCGACCACTGAGCCACATCCTTAGCCCTATTTTGCATTTTTTGTATTTTGTTTGGAGACAGGGTCTCACTGAGTTGCTTTTGCTGAGGCTGGTTTTGAACCTGCTATCCTCCTGCCTCAGCCTTCCGAACCATTGATATTATAGGTGTATACCACCGAACCAGGCTCCTATTTTGTTTTTTGAGCCAAGATCTTGCTAAACTTACTACGCTGGCCTCAAACTTGTGATCCTCCTACCTTAGCCTTCCAAGTTGTTAGATTTCAGGCATGTGCCACTACATCCCGCCTCAATTCATTTTTGATGTGAGTGCCAAGGTCACTCTATGTAGGAGTGGGGGTGGGGTAAAACAGCCTTTTCAAAAAAGATACAGGTAGGACAAGTAGATATTCACAAGCAAAAGAATAAAGTTAGAGCACTTCTTCTACCACATACAAAAATTAACTCAAAACAGAAAACTATAAAGACATAAAACTATAAAACTCTTACAATAAAGCACGAGTGCATTATCTTCATCACTTTCGATCAGGCAAAATTTCTTAGATATGACACCAAAATCACAAACAACATTAACATACAATGGACATCATCAAAATTAAAAACTTGGGGCTGGGGTTGTGGCTCAGTGGTGGAGTGCTTGCCTTGCATGTGTGAGGCACTGGGTTCGATTCTCAGCACCACATACAGATAAATTAATAAAATAAAAAGCCCATCAAGAACTAAAAAAAATATTAAAGACTTGTGCTTCAGAGCACACTATTAAGAAAGTAGAAAGACAATAAATAAAATGGGAGAAAAATTTTGTAAACCATACCTCTGATAAGAGACTTGTGTCTAGAATACATGAAGAACTATAACTTGATAACAACAACACACCCACACACACACAAAAAAAAAAAAACCTACAATTTAAAAGAAGTAGAGATCTGAATAAGCAGTTCTCCAAGCATACAAGAAATGTTCAAGGGGCTGGGGTTGTGGCTCAGTGGTAGAGCACTTGCCTAACACTTGAGGCACTGGGTTTGATCCTCAGCACCACATAAAAATAAATAAAATAAAATAAAGGTACTGTGTCCATCTATAACTAAAAAATAAAATTAAAAAAGAAAAAATTCTCAAAATTGTTAGCCATTGGGCTGGGGATGTGGCTCAAGTGGTAGCACGCTCACCTGGCATGCATGCGGCCCGGGTTCGATTCTCAGCACCACATACAAAGAAAGATGTTGTGTCCACCGAAAACTAAAAAATATTGAAAAATTCTCTCTCTCTCTCTTTAAAAAAAAAAAATTGTTAGCCATTAGGAAAATGCAAATAAAAATCACAATAAGATACTAATGAATAGTTACTAGATAGCTATAATTAAAGACAGATAACAATGGAAACCTCACTGTTGCTGATGAGAATATAAAATATAAAATGGAGGTCACTTTACAAAACAGTCTGGTCAACTCCCGAAAAGGTTAAAGTTACCATCTGGCCATAATTCTAATTATATACCAAGACAAATAAAAACATATGTCCACACAAAAAGTTGTACATGAACATTGATAACTACATTATTCATAATGGCCCCAAATTGCAAATAACCCAAATGTTCATCAACTGATGAGCGGATAAGTAAGATTTAAAAATCCATGCAATGAAATATCTGGCAAAAAAGGAAATGAAGTACTGATATATGCTACAACATGGATGAATCTGGAAAACTACTTTAATAGGAAAAAAAAATCTCAAAAGACAAGTTACAGGATTGCATTTATATGAAATGTCTAAAACAGACCAAGCCATGCAGACAAAAAGTAGCCCAGTGGCCGTCTGGAGGGCAGGACCTGGAGAACAACACAGAATGACTAATACTAGACACTGGTTTTCTTTTGGGGGTGATAAAAATGTTTGAAAATTGACTCTCATGGTGATGGTACATCCCTACGAACATACGAAAAACCACTAAATTGTGTACTTTGAATGAATTGTGTGATGTATAAATTATATCTCGATAAAGCTGTTTTTGAAATTATCTTTTTTTTTTTT